AGACCTAACTCTCCCTTACTTAGGTCTTAGCAGGGAAAACAGTAGATTTCTAAACCTGATGAGTGCATGAGTTTTAGTCATTTTTTAAATCTATCTACATGAATTGATCAACAATCATACTGTCACTACATCAAAAGTTATAACTCAAATTTCATTCCTCTCCTCTTCCCTCTTGGCCATCACCCTTAACCCTCATCATTTTGTGCCTGAAATACTGTAGTCATCTCATGGCTATTCTTCCTGCCCAACCATGGCTCATTATCTCCAGGTTCTCATTAGAAATGTCCCTCAATGTACCTCCAGAGATTGGTTCTGAAATGGTCATCTGACCATGTCTCTCTCCCACTGAACTCCCTTTCTCCACTACCCCCCACAGTGGCTAAAAAGTGCTTAAAGAATTCAGATCCACTTTGCCTGGCATGCTAAGCCCTTTAAACATACTCAAAAACAAACTAATGCTTACTAGAGAGGAGATGGGGGCATGGGGTTGGGTTAAATAGGCAATGGGGATTAAGGGGTACACCTGTTGTGATGAGCACTACGTGTTGTATGAAAGTGTTGAATCACTAAATTGTACACCTGAAACTAATATTACACTGTGTGTTAACTAAATGAAATTTAAATAAAAACTTTTAAAAAACCTACTCAAACTAACTCCAGTTCTGTTCCTTGGCATTCTTTACCCCCAATACAATCCAAACCATCTAAACATTTCATTTAGGAATGTGTCTCTTTCTTTTGTGCTTTCTTAAATCCCTTAAATACCCTTAAATCTTTTACCACTTGTTATTGCCTCTGTCTGGAATGACCTTATCATTCTTCTCTAATTGCCAAACTCCTACTTTTCTCAATAACTCATAATTCAAAATGTTATGCCCTTTGAAAAAAATTCCATGATTCCCCCACAGAATACCCTCCTTGTTTCTATCCTCTCTTTTTTGTCTTAGAGAATATGTATAATATTCTATAATTTATTATAATATTTATCACTTATTATAATGATTGTAATTGCCTATTGATGCATATATTTCAGTCATTACATTATTGCTTCCTAGAGATAAAAGGCTATAGTTTATTCATCTTTAATTTACCAGGCCTTACTGGAAGTTATGAGAGTGGGTGATCAAAAGATCTAGAAGAATGAATGACCCTTCATTTTTTTAAGTTTTATTTATTTATTTATTTATTTATTTTGAGAGAGAGAGAGAGAGAGAGAGAGTGAATGGAACTGGGGCAGATGGAGAACCCCAAGCAGGCTCTGCAGTGTCAAGACAAAAAGGTAAATATAAGGGAAGAGTAGAAAGGATGCTGTGCATTTACTCAACAGCAATTATGATGCCGATATTATGGGCTAGGCAGTGTGTTATTCACTGGGAATACACATAAATAAGAAACTTGCCTCCTTAAAATGGGCTTAGGGGACATAAAAGGGAGACTAGAAACATTAAATAATGCTTTTCATTTCTATGAAAATTGTGTATAGTTCTAGCTCTATCATCATCAACTTGTATTTTCCTCAATTCTTCTAAAGTTGTTTTAATTATACTGTTTAGATGTAATTGGTCATATGACTCACACTTTGAGTTTCAGAGTGAGATTTTATCTATAGACATCCTCTAATCTAAGCCAGAGAGCAACTCATTTGTCTTAACAAATTATCTGAAAGTAGATTTTAACTAGTTAGGTATTTTAATAATGTAATAAACACCTACAAAACTACCACTCAAAACAATAACCAGCTTCTAGCCATCTTATTTTCTCATTCCTTACCCCAGTTTGCCCCACCTGATATAGCCGTAATCTTGAAAATTAAGCTTTCTTGTTTATTTAGCTTTTTAGTATATTTTGTTTTCCTTCATATATATGTATTCAAATTATTTTAGTAGTTTTTAGCATATAAAGAAGAACACCTTCTGATGTAATGTTTTTGCACTATTCATTTAATATTTATTATGTTACTAAGATGTATCCATATTGTTGTATGTCTCTGTGGTTTATTAATTCTGAGTGCTATGTAATATTCCTTTTTGTGATATGCCATAGTTTTGTGTCTACTCTTCTGTTGATGGGCATTTGGATTGTTTCAAGATTCTGTAGTTGATAGCAATTTTATCAATTAAATAGATTTAAAGAGTATCTCCTTGTGGTCTTCACTGACACTTCTTTGTTTTCTAACCATACTGACTACCCCTTTATGTGAAGTATGTCTTCTTTGAAGTATGTCTTCTATGAAATGTCTGTCCCTGTCCCCTGATTCTATTGAAATGTTCATACTTTCTTATTGATTTGTAGGACTTCTTTATGTAGTCTTGATACTTATTTGTATTGATTTTGCATTTTTCCTAGTTTGTAATATATACTTTTATAAATATATCTTTTAATGAACCAGTTTTAAATTTCAATATAGTTAAGCTGACAATCCTTTTTTAGCCACTTTTTTTCTTATTTAAGAAAACAGCTTCTACTCTGAAGTCTGTAAGATATTCACAAGTATTTTCTATTAAGAATTTCAAGGTTATTGACATTTCAGATTTTAATCCATCCAGAGTAGATTTCTGAATATATGTTGTGCCAATGTCATTTTTTCTCATGAAAGTAGTCATTTCCCCTGTCTCCGTGTATTGAAAAATCCCTTATTACCTGCTATGTGACATATGTTTGTCATATACCCAAGTTCTAGATATGTGAGAATCTGTTACTAAGCTCTCAATCTTTGTCTGTCTCTGTGCCAACATAACTGTCTTTTTAAAGTTTCTTTGTTTTGAGAGAGAGAGAGAGAAACAGGAGGAGGGGCAGAGAGAAGGAGAATCCCAAGCAAGCTCTGCGCTATCAGCACAGAGCCTGATGAGGGGCTAGATCTCATGAACCGTGAGATCATGATCTGGGCTGAAATCAAGTCAGACATTCAACCAACTGAGCCAGCCACCCATGCACCCTACAACATAATGGTTTTAGTAACTAAAGCTTCATAAGGACTTTTGAAATCAGAGCAAGTTTCCTTGCAGCTACTTCTCAGAAATATTTCAGCAGTCTTCAGCCCTTTGTTCTCTTGAAAATCATATTTTCAAATTTTATAAAAGAATGTTGTGGAATTTTGATTAGAATTGGATTGAATCTTTGGATCAATTTGGGAAATAATACTTTCGTGTATCTTTTTCTTATCCATGAACATGGTATGTTTCTCAATTTTTCTAGGTTTTTAGTATTTCTTGATACAATTTATTCTTTTCCTTGTAGGAGTCTTACCCATTTTCTATTAGTTTACTGCATAGATATTTGATATAATATTTACATTTCATGTATTTCAGCTTCTCTTTCTTGTATTTATTCTGAATCTAAGATTACTACACCATATTTCTGTATTTACATTTTCTAAGGCACCAATATAATAATACAGAGCTTAGTAACTATTTATCTCCAAAATGAATTAGAAGCAAGTTTATTTCCTTTTGATGCACTCATTGTTTAAAAATTGAAGTACCTTAGAGAATAAATTTAGAAAAATGATTGATAGCATTTTGTTTAGTCAAAAACAGAAGGCTTTAAATGCCTGTAATTTTCCCTCTAGAAATGAGATTTTCAACACTGTTATGGGGATAAAGAGGAAGCAAGAATAATCAAATAATGTTTAATGGTTTATATTTTTTTAAACTCCTATATACTATGTACATGGAGAAGGAAAAATGCATCAACTTGCCATTAAATTCCACAAAAATAAATCTTTGCATAGTTACTGGCCTCATTAAACAATACAGATTTATAGATTGTCAGTATCCACTATGTTAAATGGTATATTTTTCCAGTGATAGTATATTTATATAGAAACATTATTTTCTTTAATGGGTCCACTGGAAAATACCAAATATTTTTGGTAAAGATAAAAGTAAGCATTATAAATATATACAAAACTGAATTTATTCCTTGCAAAGTCCAGATGGAAGAATTTGCAGTTTTCTCATTTGCTGAAAAGGATTGGCTTTCCTGGAATTTGGATCAACATTATCCATGCAATGAAGAGTAGACTCTACTACACAACTTTATCAGACTTTGCCAACTCTCTAGGTACATTTTATTCAAGAAAAAGTCATTGAGAAAGGTCACTAGAAGAAAATTCAGCTGAGATAATACAAGAAAACGTGGACATTGGGCCAACCATTTCTTATAGAGTGACTTGTGATATAACTATACACAAAATGGACTTTTTCAGTAACATTTTTCTTGATGAGTGTCATGGACAAATCTAAATTCTAATGATTCCACAAATACAAGAAATGGAGTGCCTTTGAAATAAAAATATATTTACCTTTCTCAATCACAATGCAGAATATTATTACAAAGGAAGTATAACCCAAATCATTAAAGAAAGAAAATATATGTTTTCATATGAGCAATCTGAAGTCTTGGTTGTAAAATTAGCCTTTGGCAATACACACATAAAGTCTTTGAACTGAGTATAAATTTAGCTGCCTTTCAGTTTTTAGTAAGTTTGTTGTTTTCTCCTTTTCTGGAAGGAGAGTTAATGTTATATCCATCCAAATAAAAGAATTTTGTGCAAAGTAGAACACAAAAAAATAATAATTAGAACTTTAAAAAGCAATGTCCATGACTACAAGTGAACTGACAGCTCATAAAACCTTATCATTTAAACCAAGAGAAAAATGTTCTCACTTGCAAAGATTAAATTCATGAATGATGGAATAATCAACATTTATACTTATTTTTACTTTGGTTATGTAAGTTTTAATATAGGCAACACAATCTTGTTTAGAAATATAGTTTTATGTATGTTATTTAAAAAATCTTCTACTGTTAATATTTGCTATTGAATTATCCTAAGAGATCAAGTTTATTTAGAAAGCATATAAAGTAATGCAAGAAAATATGAAAGGTTATATAATACTTATTTGGCTGGCTATTTGTTTGACTCTTCCCCTGTACAAAAATACTTAGAAGTCGTACTCCCGGAAAACATGTATAACACTTTGTTTTAAATTTGACAGTAAAGAAGAATCATTAGTGACATCAGATGAGAATGACTTTGAGAATTCAAAGACTACAGGTACTATTTTTATTTGACTTTTTCAATTTAATTTTTAAACAAAATCTCTGTCTTTTGTTAAAGCCTATGATGATAATAATCTCACAAAGATACAATTGTATTAACTTTGCAGATACCTATATCCCAACAATTGTTTGTTCTCATGAGGACAAGGAAGATTTGAAGACCAGTAATCAGAATGTAAAAGATGTAAACAGGGAACATGATGAACATAATGAAAAAGAATTAGAGTTGATGGTAAGTGTTCTGGTTGCCACGGTATTAAAGACGATGAATCATTTTATGCTTCAAAGATGCTGCAACGCCTGCCTTTCGATAGTTTCAATTAATATAATTTGCAAATGTGAAAGCACAGCTTTTCTGTCCTCGCATCTCTAGCTTGATCAACAAGGCACTTTGATTTCAGTATGTTGCTTCTGGTCTCTGCAGTAGTAAATTAATGATATTCATTTCTTATCTCTTTACCAGCGGCTCTGAGTAATAGTTTGTAGGAATTATAGAGGAGGTAGCACTATCCTGATGTGCATTTCTAATCTTTGTGACAAGTGTACACTTAGCATAAACTCGTCTGTAAAATGAGAGGGCTGGACTAGATGATTGTGAGAGTCTGTCCAGCTCTTCAAGTGTGAATCTTGCATTTAGCAGCATTATTTTAAACTTACTTCCATCTTCAGGAGACTCTCACACTTCTATGTCATTGGAAAGTATTAAATTACCAAATGAGGAGAAAATAGCCTGTGCTATATTTCTTAAACAGGAAACAAATCCAGCACTGTACAATTTAGTATCAAATTTGTTATCATAAATTTCACACTTGGTGAACATTCAATCTATTTGGAATTTTGGGGGGGGGATGCTTTAGATAGCATTTTTATCACAAAGGAAGAAATGGGAGTAAATGAGTCACATAATGCAATTTATCCTTTACTGTATTTGGTTGGAGCTATATCATTAGGTACATGGATTCATAATCATCTAAGATTAAAATGGCATTTGCCTCTTCAAGTGTCAGTGCTGGAAAAGAAAAGAAATAGAGCTCATCTCTTTCCCCACATTTTCTACCTTTTCTATAGTGATATGGAAGCTGCATCACTAAAGTATGCAATTTACTTTGCTCCAACTTTAAGAAACTACAAAGTTGTCACCCATTGTGAGAATTCTCACCAGCTGAAAGTTAACATCGCCATTTTTTTTCAAACCACAGAATATAATGAAAGGGCCCTGAAAAATCACATACTTCACCAATACACCTCATTACAATGAGCAGGCTCAAATATAAAAGTTTGTTTAGAAGTTACTGAGATTGTACATCCAATAAATGAACAGGGAGCTGTAATTTAGATGCTAATTTGCTCCATGGTGACGTTAATGCATAAAACAATGAAGCTCTATAATAGATGGAAATACAACCAAATCTGTGGAACCCACAGGCATTGGCTTACAAGACAGCTGTGCAGTTGACAAGTAACATGAGCCTTATGTGAGAAGAAGGGGAAAACGTAAGATTTGCATATAATTATTGAGATCATGCAAATGTCAGTTATGAGGAGAAAAAAAACACAGGCATCTCACTGTTAAATCCTGACAGTTGGCATCACTGAAGAGCTCAAATACATTTGAGTACCAGTTGGCAGAGGGTCATTAAAACAGAATTTGCAGAGACATTAACTCCCTCACTTTTCTTTGAGTGACGTTTTGCTATTAATAGTTTGCAGAGGCTTTGCAGAAAACATATTAATAAGAGAAACTGTAATAGGGGCACCTACAGCAAGTGTAAAATGCAGCAAGGGGCACCCAGGAAGCTGCTCTCTAATTGATTAGCATGGAGCTATCAATGTGTATATCCTAAGTGAGGAGAAAGTGCAATGACAAGCAAGAATAGTTGAATAATACAATGTGATATTTGGAAGCTGGGAAGGAGAGTGATTAATTTTGGTCCCTTTTCTTATTAATTTCATTCCTAAGTCATAGCCTACGAGGATCCCCCAAAACATCCGGCTTCCAGAATTTATACAAAATCTACAAATGAAATGAGCCAAGGAAATCTACCGGTTTAATTGCTAGCCCCGTTAATGAAATATATCGAATTCATTTTGTATATTTAAAGTTGTTTGGTCATTATTTGTTTTGTTTTTGTTCTTTATCCCCTAAGATAAATCAATGCTTAATAAGAAGTACTGCTTCCAGAGATGAAAAGAATACATTTGCGATAGATCCAGTCAATTTTCCAAATAAAGCTGAGGGGTTAGAGAAGAAGCAAATCCATGGTGAAGTACACACTGACTTGTTTAAAAGGCCTTTGTCTCCAAGTTCATCAGCAGAAAGCTCCTTAAAGGGAGATTTTTACTGCAATGAAAAATATTCCTCAGAAAGTAAGTGTAGTCATCAGCCTTCAGAGAAAATTACTACAGATATAGGAGAAATCAAACCACCATTGGGAGATACTAGTAGTGATGAATTAGTGCAATTACATATCAGCAGCAGAGAAGTACTGGATGATAATGCTAATCCAGCCCAAGGGAGAGGCAGAGTGAAAATATCTTGTCCCTCCTCAGATCAACTAGTCACAGAGAATCTTAATAAAAAGCATGAAGGAGGAGCTGAGAAAACTGAAGTGGAAGATTGGGAATGTTTAAGAAGAGATTTCTGTTTGGATTTCCATTTGGAAGAATCAACAGAAAAGCGATCTTCTAAGAAAGATCATGGTAAGACTGAGAAGGAGGAGCAAAGAATACATTCAGGTGTTAATGAAAAACAAAGCAAAAATTTTCATTCAATCACACATGACCAAGAAAGGAAGAAGGGCCACTCTGAAATAAGTACAGAAGGGACTGGAGCTGGTAACAGAGACCTAACCGTTCTGCCTAGTAAAGACACCAGGATTCCTGACCAGGCAATTACAGCTGATACGTTTCATTCACCAAAGATAAGTCTAAGTCAGGAAGAAGCTATGTTAACAACTCCAGAGCATGGTCTATTGACTAGTTATGGCACTGCTTTAGGAGGGTTGCCTGATCAAGTGTGTTCAGCAAGAAATGAAAAAGTTCTGAGGAATGATTGTCTTTTCCAAGTTGAAGAAGAGAAATCAGATTGGATTAATCCTGAAGATCAGAATAAGAACACACAGCATAAACAAAGTTGGAATGTTCTGGAAAGTCAGAGAAAAGCAAGAGAGAGTAAGACAAACAGAATAGAACAGATCAAGCAACAAGCAGATTGTGAAGACATGTGGGGAAAAAGAGATAACACAAGGAGTTTGAAAGCTACTCCTACGGAAGAATTGTTTACCTGCCAAGAAACAGGGAGCTGTGAACTGTCTTCTCTAGCTGATCATGGTGTTACTGAGGGAGCAGAAGCAGGTACAGCTTATATAATTAAGACAACATCAGAAAGTACTCTAGAAAGCATGTCTGCTAGAGAAAAAGCAATAATTGCTAAGCTACCTCAAGAGACAGCACGAAGTGACAGGCCCATCGAGGTAAAGGCAACAGCGTTTGATCCACATGAAGGGAGAAATGATGATTCACATTATACCTTTTGTCAACGAGATACAGGAGGTGTAATCTATGACAATGGTTTTGAAAAAGAATCACGTTTGGGTATTTGTAATGTACATGTAGATGAAATGGAGAAAGAAGAAACCGTATCTATGTACAATCCCGGGAAGACATATGACAGGAAGAAATGTGGCTTTGGAAATATCACATCTGTAGAAGAATCCTTACAGGCCATTACAGGCAGTCAAAAGGCAGCCTCAAAACTTGATTTACATTTGGGAATGTTATCAACAGACAAAAACACATTTCCAGAAAATAGAGATCATAAACAGGCCCAAGAATCATCCAAAAAAATGGACCTAGAAGCTGTTGTTCATTCTGCTTTAAATTCAGACACTAATAGAGCTTCTCAGAATGACTCTCACATTTCCAATCACCATGTTAAAACCTCATTGCCATCTCATGAACAGGCAATTGCTGTAGGGAATATAATTACTACCATGACTCTCCAATCTATTTCTATTAAATCAGAATATAATTGTAATCCAACAAGTGAAATCCAGGGTGCTGAGAAGCAACCTCATACTAGGTCTACACCTGAAGAAGTTTCTAAAAGTTCAGGAATAGAGATATCAGGTAATAGCAGAGAAAGGATGACGAGCCAGATTTTTCAACAAGAAGAATGCAGTGTGGAAAAATCTCTACGGCCAACAATTTCCATCAGTGAAGCTGTGGAGAACATAGAAGCAAGGCATGGAAAGGAAGGATTCAACTCTGGACAATCACTGGGTTCTTCAGATGACAAGGAATCTGAGAGCTCTGCTTCTGCTAGTCTCCCTGCTCAGGAAGGTCAAACTGAAAGCAGTGAATCTCTGCTTTCGAAATATACCAACTCTAAAATACCTTATTTCCTTTTGTTTCTGATTTTTCTTGTAACTATCTACCAGTATGACCTGATGATTGGCTTGGCATTCTACCTTTTTTCATTGTACTGGCTATCCTGGGAAGGGGGGAGACAAAAAGAGTCTGTCAAAAAGAAGTAACCTCACCACTATTATTATTTTCTCTTAAAAGATAAGCTTTTTAGCCCCAAACATTTGGATTGGTGAAAGAGACTATTCATTGTTCAAAGAGCCAGTGCAGTTTTTCTCTTGAAGGATCATTTAAAAAGGAATGCGTATGAAGTTTGCTCCTTCATATAAGTAATTATTCTATATAGGACCATTATGTTTGGATCATTAAATACCTATATGAATATGAGATCTGAAGCACGTCAAGTTGAAATTAGGTACAGCTGTTGCTCCTTAGCAGGCTATGAAGTTGCAATGCTTCATGTCTCTTCACTACTTAAAGTGCCATTTCTTTTGCAGTAAAGCTTCATTCCCCCCTCCACCCCCCCGGGAATATTTTTCCCTCTATGGTTTTAAAAAAAATAGATAAAACATGAACAATGGCAGAGGACTTTTCTTTTTTTTGGTCTTTTGGTATTGACCCTGAAATTTGCATTCATCACCATATCATTTATCAGCACATTTTGGTAGATCAAATTTTTCAACTTTGATTCCATATTTTTAAGAACACCCATGTATATTGAAATGCATAAACTTAAAGACCTTGTTTGTTTGAATAATACTTTATACACAGATCCCTTTTAACTCCTTTACATGTTCAAAGTCAGAGCACCCATAAGCCAAATGTGATGGAGACAGAAGCAACTGGGAGATGATCTTGCAATCTACAAAATTTTGTGGGTAGCCCTTCTTTAAGCAATGTTTTTCTCTTGTAAAAAGAGAAAGTATAACACAGCTGAACAATTTTAATGTCAATTATTCAAGAGTTGAGGTTTTAAATGAAAAGTTCCACAAGCGTTGCTTCAGAATGAATTTGTACCTATAAAGCATAAAGTATTAAATGACAACAATAATAATTAAAAAAAGATTTCCAAACAAACTATTTTATTTGGTAGTATTTTTTTGTCTTCAAAAAATTTTTAACTGTTTTGGTTATAATACAATTAATTATTTCCCAAGGTAGATATAGAGAATGAACAACTAAGCATTGGTGATAGTTATATAACCATCAGGTTGTTAGATGATACCTCGTTTTTTTTAAGTTTATTTATTTGAGAGAGACAGAGTGCAAGTGGGGGAGGGGCAGAGAGAGAGAGAGATTGAGAGAGAATCTCAAGCAAGCTCTGCACTGCCAGAGCAGAGCCCAACCCGGGGCTTGAATTAACAAAACCGTGAGATCGTGACCTGAAACAAAGAGTCTGATGTTTAACTGACTGAGCCACCCAGGCACCCTGATTACTCAAGTTTGTAAGTAAGCAAATAAGTAGATTTAGAAATCTACTCAGAGAGCAGTCAATATCCAGTATAGCAGTGACTTTGGTTGCTGTTATTATCTATGGCTAAGTATGTGAAATATGGAACTAATCATTCAGTCACAAAAGGGTATTGCAAAGATTCTTATACAAGATTTCAACAGTCATTTGTTGAATGACTGATAGATGCTAAACCTGTGCTCTGGTCTATGGCATAGTACTTCCTTTGATAGCCTGAATGGCTAATTTTCCAGAATGAGTCATAGGTATGTAGTTTGATACTTTTGACTTGGCCAGGAATATAGAAGAGAGTCACATTTAGGGAGTCCATTTGGGTGATTTCTTTTTCATAGGAACTTCCTTCCTAGAGCATGTAACATTGGTCTTCAGAAAGAAAAGACCGTCTGTTTATTTACCTGTAAAGGTAAATTCAATGAGGAAAACCTGACTATCTCATCTCACAGTTCTAAGAAACATGCATTTATGGAAAGAAAAAAAAATGAGGATGAAGCATTTAAACCGACTTTCATGTGGTAGTAAATCATTTCCCTAATTTTCATTAGATACACAACTATTTCCAAATCCCTAATTGTATGCTTGTCTCAAGTTCCATTGAAATTGAATGCTTGACCTCAACTTTTTAGTTGAACAAATACAAACATCCTGAAGTAGAACTTATGGCAAATATTTGATTGCTTGAGAAAGCACATTTTCATTAAATGCAAGTGGAACAGTGTAAGCTGTACTAGAATATTATCTCTAAAATTGCTATCCTGATAATTTTGTTGACAGGTCTAAATTACAGTGGAGTTAAGGTTAGTATTTCTTCAAATCATAATGGCTTGGTTTTTGCATTCTACGTTTAAGAGTTTCAGTCAATATGCCATATCTTATTAATGCAAAGAATACTACATTACTTTATGAACACAGGTGCCTGAACTGCAATTATTCCCTTATACATAAAGGAATGTAATTTCTTTTATCTCTTTTACTTGACTTTTGGTAACATTAACTTACTAAACCTTCTCATGCATATTTGTAATATGACAATAGAAGTTTCAAAGAATTTAATATATTTAATTATGTATTTCTCTGCATGCAGTGAAGAAATAATTGGTGATTTAACTGACTTTCCAAATATTTCTTATGAAGAATTTGAAATAAAGCCATAAAAGCTTAGGAAAGTATTGCGAGGTGGAGAAGGAGATTTTTGCAACCCACTTTGATCATAGCATTATGATGAGTGAGAGAAGTGGATCTCTGAAAAAACTGGTAGCCTCTGGTTAATAAACATTTGACAGTGAATCATCCAGGCAAGATGGGGCCCCTCTCCCACCTCTCCGTGTCTGCAAGCATTGATTAAGGGCCAAAAAAAGGGTGTGGCATGAAAATAAGCAAAGAGAACAGCATTATACATCTGCTTCCTAAAGTGTCTGAGAAATGTGAGAAAATACCCATCACCTTTCATTTTGCTGGGCTTCTATTAGAAATAATATTCTAAAAATTTAGCAAGTATAGGTAGTATACTGTCTTAAAACTGTCTTAAAAAAATCACGCCTGTATAAGCCATCAATATCCCAATAGATTTTTCCATGTAAAAGGAAATGAGTCAGTGAAATGACTCACTCCTTGACATTCAAGAACATTGGGTTAATGCAGTCGTGCTTCCCTGGCGAGTTCTAATATTTTGATAATGAAACAGTGACTGTCACCATTTTGTGAGAGAAACAGGATCATCTTTTGCTTATTATCTTAAACCAGTCTGCTGGGTAAATGGAAAAGTTAAAGATATCCAGACCAAATTTGGGGAAATAAATAAACTATTTTTCCCAAATAGCATTCGTGGCACTCATGATTTTTTTGTCTTGAATATTATTCCATATCTCCAGGCTTGTTGCCTTTTGTATTAGGTTGACTTTTACATATAAATAAACCAAAAAAGCAAACAGCAAAACAACAAAAAACTAGCAGGAGAAATAGCAGGCTGGAGGACTGACACCCCCAGGGCCAATTCATCCACTGATTTCTGTCATCAGGGTCTCTGACCTTTCTTTCAAATTTTCATGAAGTGAATAAAAAAGTTTAACTATGCAATGGGGATTGTCTTTTGTTATTTGAATCCCGTCTCAGCCAGTTCTGATGGAACTGAGGAGTGGGGTCAGCTTTGATTCTAAGACAAGGTATGAAAGAAATATGGGAGGCCATGCTCTTCCAGGGTCTTCACAGTGGTACGTGTGTATGAAGAGAACAGCTAAGAAAGTTACTTTCATTATTTAATTAAATGAATTTGTTATTGTTTTTTTCTATTTTCAGAAACAGTTCATAATAAAAATCATAGCAATAGAATCTACTTTTCGTCTTTTAAAAATAGATTTGGTCATTAATCTAAATACGTTTCTATAACTTTACCCCAAACCTCTTTAAATAGCAAATTAAATTTTCATTAGCCTAGCTTCGAAGGATCATGTTTTTGAGAAATGTCATCATTGTATTATGCTAAAAACTTATTAAACAAATAACTCTTTAAAAAGTTCAGCATTTTTGTTTTGTGTCATTTCTATTTGCTAAATGCGTACATGTTACCTTAATTTTTCAACATGAAACAATATTATGTGAAAATTTAAGGGAAATTCCCTAAGATTTTCCCTAATATACCCAAGTCTTTATATTCATGATGATAAAGGGTGGTATGGGTAAATCAACAGTGAGTGACAGGGAATTAATTTTTATTTGGCTGAGATGCCTCCAAACTCTGATTTTGCAGCACATTTTATCCAATGCCTAATCAAGTTACTGGTCTTCGTGCACCATCCTTATCACCCCACCTGATCCATGATGCCTTATTCCCCACTACTCTCTACCTTAAGTCCTCTGTCATAAAAGCAAGGCACATTGTCACTAGACATATCATGCACAGCTGTTCCTCTGTGTCTGCTCGTGTACACCCCTCTGTCTAGGTCACTTGCAGGTATCTTTATTCTTCCTATCCAACTCTGCACATTTTTCTATGTACACCTCAAGCTGCTATCATTTTGAAGTCTCCTACCAGTTCAGTTTGTGCAATCTCTTTGTTTTCAGATCTCTTATCTCACTAATCTTCTTGCATGCAGTGGGCATTTGACTAACTATCCTAACTGGACTGCCTGCTTGTTCAGGACAGGGACAATCGCTTCTTCTTCCCTCCCATCACCTACCAAGGTCTAGTTTGTAGGACTCCCTCAGTCAATACTTGTGGATAGAACTGAATTGCAGTGATGTCTCCTTTCTATATATTTCTAAAATGTAGACAAGATACTCTGAGGTCTTACTTTAAAATGAATAAACTTAATCAAAACAAAGCTGGAATGGCTTAGTAAACTACCAAAGACCAAATAGAAAGGGGATGAGAGAATGACAAGACAACAATGCAGTGGATTTGGGATGTAGGGAAGAAAGAAACAATCCTTTCTCTCCATTTCTTTTAAGAATTCTACTGATTTTCTATATTTATGCATATTTTCATAGCACAGGAAACACCCCTTTCATTCTATTTAATGGGAAATAATATACTGATTATATATTAAAATAATAGTAATGCATACCTTAATTCACTGGCTAATGTGAAAATTGATAGAACAAGACCTGCCTTCAAATAAAGTAGTGCAGTAGTTTAAAAACCAACAAACATCACAAGGTATAAAGTGTAAGAAACTCAATCTTCTCAACTGCTGCCATGCCCTT